GCTTGCCGTCGTGGACCCAGACTCTGTTATGGTCGATCTCGGGGCTCAGCCACTTTGGTAAGACGTTGGCGGCCTCGACGAGGAGGAATTCGCCGTCGCTGTCGAAGACCCGGACCCAGATGTTGGGGTGGGATCGTGTGAGTTCTCTGAGCAGGTGGACGATCAACCACTCATCTTCCACGGCATCGCCGTAGTCGGTGGCTCCACGAAGGTAGATTAAGCCTATAAGATGATTTATGTGAGTTGAGAAGAGAATCGATACAGGCAACATGATTTAACAAGGTACATTTTTCTCCAAATCAAGCGAGGCTGCAAGTCTTACCTCCTTCGTTCTTCAACTCCAAGTTGAACTCCTCCCGTTGCCATAGATAATCTTTGGTTAGACTCTGACAGTTCTGTATGGCGGCCTTGCGGACTGTTTCCAACCGGGAGAGTGTTTTCCGTGCATCAGAATTTGGTTCAATGCAGAATATCAGATATTCAACCACGTTCTCCGTGATTTCCTTTTCGAATCCGGGCAGTGTCTGAGGCTCTGCGTCCTCCATAACGTGGTCTTCCTAGTAGCGGCTTATCTCTGCGACAGACAACTCTAGGATGAAGTTTACACTTGACACAAGGAAAGGAAAGGAGCGAAACTTTATTATCTCACGAATGATCTCGATATAATAGAACCAGGCTTTGAAAGGTGAGATTGTCCTACAAGTGTGGAAGACCGTTCGGAAGATTTTCGAGTGGTGTAGGGTAGGGTGCCTGGAAAGGGACCCACTTACTGGATCGTTCCTACCCTAATTTGCCAGGCAGCGGAGGAAGGCAGATCGGAGTCTTTAGTGGAGGCCCCACATCAGGCCGTCACGTCGCGTTGTGTAAGTGCTTTGTGCGCAATTGACCCCTCGACGCGCCTCACTAGCAGCCAGATCTGCGTGTCCATGTCTGTCCACCATTCCAATAGGATGCCGCCGCCCTAGTCTATCGTATAGCAACTAGATACACTGGGAGAGTATTAGACAAGGAGGATATGATGGCTCCTCGCAAACGCGCCCTGCGGGATGAAGCCGGGGAGTCCAGTGAGGCCGGAGCCTTGCGCACCTCTGATGCTGTAAGGGGGATATTCCAGACGTCCATTTTGCTGCCTGCTCACATTCGTCAAATAGAGAAAACGAGTGCGTGTGTCCGACGTCGTAGACGAGAGCTCGCTACCCCCAGAGACATCGGATTCGGACGACGATGACAATGTCGCACCCGCCCACCTGGCGCCGCCCCCTCAAAGCCAGTACGAGATCATGCGAGACGATGGGTTCAAGCACCTGGACAATATCGAAGAAGACGACCACGAAGCTGCCCGAAAGCTGACCCAGAGAATGAGGAAGGTCGGGAACAATGTCGCTGCCGAGAGTGGGATTATCGAGAGCATTACATGTTTCAATTTCATGTGCCACGACAGACTCCATGTAGAGCTCGGGCCCCTTCTCAACTTCATCGTTGGAGAGAACGGTAGTGGCAAGAGTGCAGTTCTCACAGCCCTGACACTCTGTCTCGGAGGCAAAGCAAGCGATACAAACCGTGGCGGCAGCTTGAGGTCGTTTGTGAAGGAAGGTCGTGACAAAGCTCGGCTGGTCGTCAAGATCAAGAATTGCGGCAGCGATGCCTACCAGCCAGACCTCTACGGCGACTCGATCGTGGTTGAACGACATTTCTCGAGCACCGGCTCCAGTGGATTCAAGATCAAGAACTCGGCCGGTGGCATTATTTCTACAAAGAAGCAAGAAGTCGACGAGATCTCCGAGTGGTATACCTTGCAAATTGGGAACCCATTGATTGTGCTATCCCAGGATAATGCCAGGCAATTTCTCAACTCGTCATCGCCATCGCAGAAATACAAGTTCTTCGTCGCCGGAGTTCAACTGGAACAGCTCGACAACGATTACAAGATGTCGCAGGACACACTGGACAAGACCGAGATCCTCCGCGACGATTTGAACGAGCGAATCGGTTCCGTCAAGAAGGAGATGGAGAGTGCTAGACGACTTGCTGAGACTGCCCAGAAAAATAATACCCTCCGCGACAAAGCCCGTCATTATCGACGCCAGCTGGCATGGAGCCAGGTTATAGAGCAGGAAACAGAATTAGAAAAGAGGGTGAAGGCCCTCGAAGACCATGACGAACGCATCGTGGAACGTCAGGAGACATGCGCGCAGATGACAGAAGCTCTGGAATCTCTGGATCAGAAGCTGCAAGAGCATCAACAGTCCAGAGAGGAGCTTGACCAGGAGCGGGAGGGGTTTGAAGACAGAATTGCAACGGCAGAGGCTGACTATGCAAGCGCAAAGAAAGATCTGACCGACCTGAACCGGGAGGAAAGAGATGCGTACGCTCGCATGAAAAATGCGACATCCGAGCTCAAAACTCTCCAAGAAGAGATTGAGAAGGAGGAGAAACGGCTTGCAGAATCTACAGGTCCCGAACGGGCACAAAAGGATTCCGAATTAGCCGACGCACTCTCCAAAGAAAAGGACTTGATCAAGCAGCAAGAACAGTTGCTCGGTGGAAAGCCCGAGGAAGAATCGAGACTTGAAAAGGCTCAAGCAGAATACGAGACTGTTTCGCGAGCTAAAGAGTTGAAGCGCAAAGAAACTCTCCAAGCCCAGAAAAATATCCAAGAAGTCAAGCAAAGTACTGGATCGGCTTTAGATGGCTACGACAATAAAACGCGCGATCTCGTCATGGCTATAGAGGAAGATAACTCATTCGAGCACAAGCCGATCGGACCTATGGGCGCCCATATAAGATTACTCGATCCCGAATGGTCTGGCATCTTGGAGAGGACATTTGGTGAAGCCCTGAATGCATTCGTGGTCCGCAGCAAACAAGACCAGCAGAAGCTTTTGAATCTCATGAAACGGATCCGGATCCCAAAACCACCGCCAATCTACATCGCTTACAGTGGCCGAATCGACACTTCGAGACAGGAGCCCGACGAAAAGTACACCACTATTTTGCGCATCTTGGAGTTTGACAACGAGTTGGTCAGAACTCAGATGATCATCAGTTATCAAATCGAGAAGATCATCTTGATCAAAAGTCGAGTTGAGGCTGAAAAAGTTATGGTCGATGGTGATGTCCCACCACGAAATGTCAATGCCTGCATGTGTTTTCATGATGGCCAGGGGAAGCGCGGCTGGGGTCTCAGGCTTACCAACCGTAATGGCAATACTAGCACAAGCCCAGTACCACCTGGGACAGATCGCAAGAGGATGCGGACTGATACCGGCAACCATATTTTGGTGCTCCAGGAACACATGAAGCAACTGGGAACTGAAATGCGAGAGCTCGAAAGGCAACTTAAGGCCGCGTCTAACGAACTCCAGGAGGCGAGACGAGTTGAGCAAGGAAGTAGAGGCCAGCTGAAAAAGTTGGAAACTGAAATCCGCAAGGTCCAGGCCGAGGTTCAGAGAATCCAGATCGACCTGGACGCCTTTGAAGGTGTTGACGGCCGTCTTGTACAGTTGCGAGAGGATTTGACAACCAAAGAAAACGAAATCGAGGGCCTGGGCAACCAGTACGGGTCTATCAAGGTGGCGAAGTCGGATATGCAGGAGAAGGCCAAAAAGGCCAAGGAGAAGTTGACGGAGGAGCAGGGAATACGGGACGAGTACCAGGGCAAAGTTGACAAGGCCGAGAAGAAGCTCAAGAGCTTTCATGACCTGCGACGCATTGCACTGGGAAAGAAGAACCAGGCATTTGAGAGTCTCGAAATCGACCAGGCTGAACGACCACGTGTGGCGGACAGAATCGAGCAGCAGCGGGAGATGGTCAGGAACTTCACGCAGTCGGCAGAACAGGTTTCTCCAACCCGTGTGCTGATCCCGGAAGGCGAGACGTTCCAGAGCATGGAACGCAAGTACGTAAAGCTGCGAGAGCAACTGGATCAGCGGGCAAAACGTCTCGGGGCTACGGATGAGCAAATCTATGAGCGGTCGGCCGCAGCCACGAAGAAGTACGAGGACGCAACAAAGGAGATCAGGGAGGTGGACGAAACGATATCCACTCTGAAGCATTCAATCCGAGAGCGTTTGAATCTATGGCGCCAGTTCCAGCGCCAGATCAGTGCTCGAGTCCGTATCCAGTTCACATATCTCCTCAGCGAACGTGGCTACCGTGGGAAAATTGAACTCAACCATAAATCGAAGAAGGTGTCGGTCAGTGTCGAGCCAGATGAGACGAAGAAGGTCGCATCTGCCCGGAGCACCAAGACCTTATCCGGAGGTGAGAAATCTTTCTCATCCGTTTGTATGCTGCTCTCCATCTGGGAAGCCATTGGGTCGCCGATTCGATGCCTGGACGAGTTTGACGTCTTCATGGACAATGTGAACCGTAGCATCAGTACCAACATGCTGGTAAGTTAACATCTTTTACCTCCCTTTAGCTAGGATGAGCTGGTAGGCTGACATGCTTTCAAATAGGTGGACGTTGCTCGTCGCGCGGTATCACGGCAGTATATTCTCATTACCCCTAATGCGATCGAGGGTCGGGCAAGCTTGGCTGCCGATGTCAAGATTATCAGGTATTTTCAGCCCTATACGACGAGAGCTGAACGAGCACGAAGCTAACAGTACAACCAGACTTACGGATCCTCGACAACGGACTCTCCCTGATATGATGGCAGAATAATGGCCGCTATCTTTGTTTGATTTTTTTCTTGACGGGCATTACTGGAATCTACTTGGAGGGCAAAAAAAGGTGTGATTTGTACAAGAGCAACGGCAAGCAGGGAGTTTCAGGAACGGCATTTATTTGGTATGGTACATGGGCTCTTTTCTCATGTCGGGTTCATATAGCCTTGGTTGGTATTCAAGGGGGGGCGCCTATGGGAAATGCAAAACCGGCAGATGTGGGATATCCTGTAGTGAGTAATGATACAAAGGTCTTACAATTATGCTACATATATAAAACATGGGAGGGGTATGCATGTCTGAGGCAACTGCACAGCACAGCACATCATATCATATCCGGACTCCCTTGCTCCTCAGGATGTTGATGCCGGCGTTGGCAGTGAAGCCAACCCACTGGCCGATGTTGCCCAGGGCGCCGCCGACGGACTTGACCTCGTCCAGGCGGCGGGTCAGGAACTTGCCCGTCTCGACGTAGTCCGGGGAGTGGTCGTTGGTCATGAACAGCTCGGTGGTGGTGTAGACCATGGACAGGGTGGCGCGCTTGGTGTACCACGAGGGGTCGACGGCGGTGTCGCCGGCGAGGAACCAGATCTCGTTCGAGAGGGCGGCGAGCTCCTTGATGGACTCGGGGACGTAGCTGGGCTGCGCCATGACGGCCAATGCCTTTGGTAGGAGACCGTGTTAGCTATATCTGCTCCTCCTCCATGTGGACGTTAGGGCGGGAGCGGTTTGCTCTTTCTCACCTCTTGCCACCTGTGGATGATGTCCTTGTTCGCGAGGAGGCGCTCCCAGGTCAGGGCGGCGACCTTGCCTCCCACGCCGGCGGGGGCGTCGTCTCGCTCGAACAGCTGGCGGCTGCGCTCGGCGAGGGCCTGGCGCTGGGTGACGAGGTGGTACTTGATGAGGGTGAAGGGTCCGTTGGTGAGGACGCTGGGGCTGATGTCGGGGAGGCCGGCGTCGCGGGCGCCGTGGGTCAAGGCGGTCTGGGTGAAGCCATGCTCGGGGACGTGCTTGTAGGCGGCGGCGAGGATTGCCGTCTCAGTAGCGCCGAAGGGGCCCGGGGGCGGCGGATGGTCGTAGGAGTGGTAGGGGCGGCGGTAGAGGGAGGAGGTCGTTGAGGCAGTGATGGTACGTAGTGGTCTGATGGAAGCCCTCAGAGCTGCTCGGGCTGAGGTTGGGCAAGCCATTGAGAGGGCTGGCGAAGGGCGGTTGGAGGGGCAGATGGACGGCGGCGTGCTGGTGGAGGGCGGGGAGAGGTGATCGGGGGCCCAAGGTGCTGTCTGCCTTGGCGTGAGTGGACGGCCGATCTTATGGAGTGAGGGTGTGTGACGATGGCAGCCGTGGTTTTGCTTGACGGCAGTAGAGCCGCTTCCAAAATCCCATGTAAGAAATTCTAGGTACATTTGCAGGTACCCACACAGAGCGCGGTGGATTCGGCAGGTACATGGCGCTACTTGTTGGAGGGGCATCTGGGCGAGGGCGCATCAGTTGCCGGGTTGGTACTAGCAGGTATCTCGCAGCAGATGGACAGGTACCTTTCCTTCGGGCTGCTGCTCCACCCGCATGTGGGGGTGGATCTATGAGCCTCTCGCAGTGTGCTGAGAAGAGACAGACCCAACTTTGTGTAAGCGGAATGGCGAGTATTGAGGCAGGATGGAGTTTTCATATTACGCGCCCAAGGAATGGAGTGCTTACTGTGCTTGATTGGCCCAGCTGGATGTGATGTTATGCATGAGGGAACCATTGAATGGCAAAGTGCCCAGCCTTGATCACCAACGGCGTCTTCCCCGGGCGGCGCAGGCAGAGAGATACACACCACAGCCTTGTGCTTGCTTTTTGGGTGGTGGGTGTTGGGACTTGGTCAACTGCATGCATGTCTCGAATCCATTGACAACGCCTACATGAAGCCAAGCCCACCTGAGTTTCGGATAGCCCTCTTCCTCGGGTAGGCCGTCCACGTAGCATGCAGGCCGTCGCTGCGTCGCCATGGCTACCTTCCTGCTTGCTCCCTGCGCTGGGGAATCCCCAGAAATGCGAGACCTTTCCTTTGAATGGCATCTCGACCCCTCTCTTTGGCGACGTATTAGGCAGCAGGAGCCCCAGCAAGCAAGGAGGAGGCGGCTCCGTATGCCGGGCTTCCCCTCTCTCTGCCGGGTTGTAGCAACCGATCACCCACTAAGGCTCAAACAGGTGGGTTGTCTTAAATCAATGTGCCAGTTTCCTCCATCGGCCGAAGCGAAGGAGGGAAGAGGCCAATATCTGCCTGCTGTCATCAGGAATCCCTGGTGGCGTGCTTGTGCAGTCATACGTACATATGTGCTGTGAATATGCATGCATGGCTCGACATGCTCCTGGGCGTCCTATTGGCTGATGACCCCGACAAAAACCGGCTGGACGAGAAAAACCTGCTACTTCACTTTTTTCCAGTGCTGGTGGATGTGCTGAGTGCCGGGTGCTGATCGCTACGAGGAAACTACGGCTCTCCCTGTCAATCCAGGATCAGTACGAACGGGACGGATATTGCACCGCAAAGTGCCCGCAGCCGGCCCTTCATCGTAGAGATCAGCCTGGGCAGATTCTTCCCTGAACTGCCGGCTGCCCTACGACGCTCTGGAATTGCCGCAAAACGGAATCCGCCGCAGTGATGATACCTGAAGCCACCGGGACAGTTGTAGCAGTAAAAGCCCTCTATCGAAGGGCCAGGGTCCGCTCACCGGTCTGGATCCGGCCTGCAAGAGCATCCTTGGTTAGCAAAGCTGATTGGAGACCTGGGTTAGTGGATGCGCGCAAAGTTATGCTGTGTAACGGCAGGGTGGACAGCTGCCCGCTGCCCACCAGTTCTTGTCTTTATGACTGGTCGCCGTCCGTTGCTGGATTGGGAGGCCAATGTGCACATTTTCTCTGCCCGCCCGTGCTTGTGGAGCTCTCGCTGGAACGCTGCTGACGAGTTGAGGATACCAGCAGACCCCTTTTCGAGTCCTGTCGTTTTCCTGGCTGGCTCGTTATCAGGAGGTCGACGTATTGATGACACCAGGATTGCATTTGGTGAGGTGTGATGAAGTGATGAAACAGGCGTGGCGTTTTGGCTGGCACATGTGCAGGCCACATGAAGCGTGGCATGAAGTGAGACGGTTGCTTTTACCGAGCCTTGTTTCCTAATGGTCCGGATGGGAGATAGTTGCTCTGACCAAGCCTGCAGAGCGAGCCACGGTGTCGAATTAAGATGCACACTACACTCCAAGCACTGATCCATATCGGTGAAAGCTCTTTGGACTCTGCTTGCTTTCGATGTTTCCCTTTCATGTCAGGACAATTGCTAGAGGAGACCGAAGACTAAATAGGGCAGAGAGGAAGAAGAGGAGAAGGTGGAAATTCGGCCTTCAAAAGAAGTACCCCTCACCCAAGGGCCTACGAAACAAAGCCGTGGTAACCGTGACCCAAGGACGGTCCCAGAACGGATAGATCAATACTCCTAGCTGCTCCTAGTGTGTGCATCTGTACTTGGCAGTTGTGTGATTCAAGCACGTTAGATGCATTGGACTCGGCGACCCACCTGCAGAGCTTGCGCCACTGATAAAGGCAAGCGGCAGGTTGCTTGGACTTGTCAGACTGTTTCTTCTGCCTGGTATTGCTCGCCGTTACCGTCGTCGTGGAGCGGCTGGCCGTTGGAAACTTCAGCTTTACAGTAGTGCTTATCACCTGGCGGACAGATAATGCTCCGAAAGGACCAAGAGAGGGCTGGCTGCCAGGTTTACTGCGGCTTGTATTGATTATGACGATGGAACCCGCGAAACCCCAGGCTTGGCCGACCCAGCAGGTTTATTGTGAAACAACCGAGCTGCAACCACTTATGTGGACATGAGGCCTGGTGCCGTGATTCGTGAGATGTGCATGCCACAGAGCATGTACTTGTGGATCGCCCGCGGAGCCCGCAAGGTGTCCTGGGAGATTAAGGCAAGGGTTTTCTGTCGCCCGCAGAGCTGACAATGCCTTTGATGGCAAGGACGGGCTCAGTAACATGCTCCTGGCGATACCGTGTGAGGGGTGCGGTTCCGAACTCAAAGTCTCTGGGGCTCGAGGCTTTGGACCAATGCAATCATCACACGGGGCATTTTGGGCGCGAGGCGACTGAGACCCGCGGCGATAGTAAAACACCACGCTCTGCCGTCATTGTTGACTCAACTGGCTGGTAGTAGCAGCTCCTGGTGATTTATATCAACGTGGATGTCGGATCGGCATCCCATCCAAAAAACCCACCCACCTTGCTAAGAGGTTGCAGCCCACTTTTGGGGGGGAGGGGCAGTGGGACTGCAGCACCCTTTTGTCCAGACAGGACAAACAACGAGAAGTTTTGGCTGGTGAATTTAAGATGTGAGGGAGCTAGTTCAGCCAGCCGCCTCTAATTGGACGCGAATTCTCGAGTTTGTGGAAATCTCCGTAACTGATGGAGCCTCCCGGCAAACGGGATTGTTGTTTAAGGTTAGATCGATTTTCAACGGCCAGCTGAAAAGGCATGCAAAAGCAAGCAAGCAATGGCTGAGGCTTGTAGCTATGTCACTAATCCTCCGTGGCATTGAGATAAACACCCGACCGTCCATTTCTGCGCGGTGCGAGAGGGTGATGGAGGGGAGGTAGACGTATATTGCTCGTATATTGCCTGCTTTTAAGAAATGCATGGAACGCTGGAGGATATCAGGTTGCAATGAAGCTACTCGCGAGAGCAGAGATGGTGTTGGGCGCTCCCGGCCGAGACACCCCTACCGCCCGGAGATGATGCTGACGGCGTGAGAGTCTGCCTTATACGCGAGAGCCTTACCTGATGGCTCCTTACCCAACTGGGCAGTGCTATGACTCTCTCGCGAGGTAGGCAAGGAGGTCCTAACGCAGCTCTGCTGTTACCTAGCACCTGGTGGCTTGAGTAGCCCTGTGCGTGTGTGGTGCAATCGCTGCACTGAGACGCACCATACCACACCATCAGCGCAGCAGTGCAGCAACAATGGGGGCAGGCCGCCGGGAAAACTGGGAGCAGCGGCAGACGGGCTACGTAAAAGGATCTCCCATTCCGCATGCCAAGACGCAGACATTGGCAGCTGCTAGCACCGGAATCGAGACTGGGAAGAGCCTGCAAAACCCTGGTCGTCGGCTTGGGGCCCAGGGATGCGGCTTTGAGGCTTCTAATCCCTATTGCGCGTGCATTCAATGTGACGACTTGTACACACGGTGCGGAGCCTGGCAATGCAGGCACTGTAGTGTGCCGCGGACCACAATGGCTGCTGCCGGTCGCGCGCTCTCGTACGAGCACGGACTTGGCTGCTGCGAGGGACTTGGGTACCTGGCCGCCCGCGACGCTACTGTACCCTCAGCTGCTACGACCAAGGCCTGGCAGCAACGCGAGACAACCAACAGGGGGTGGTGGGGCCTATGGCACCCCTTTGGCACCCTCTGCCACCCGCTGCCGCTCATTCGCTGCCTGAGGTGCCCATTCCCCTCCCCCAGTACGCGCCTCTGCCTCAGCGTGCGCGTCTTTTCTGCCTCTTGGTCACCTCACCTCACCACACCATCGATTCTCCGGGACCCGTCTGCACTGCACAGCACTGCACTGCGACTGAGTGAGGTGACAATCTGGCCTCTGCCGTGTGTGTTCTCTTGCATTGACACGGGCTTTGCATTGCGCGCCCCTCTCCTCTCCTCTCCTCTCCTCCTATCCCATCCCGTCCCCGTCCCCAGCACCCCTCCATCCGGACGTCTGCCGCGCACCAGCAGCAAGCCCAAGCAAGCCCCAACTCGCCTGCAGGTGCCTCCCAGTCCCTACTACGCTGCCTCCCACCCAACTAAGCTGCCTGCCTCCTGCGTGCGGCATCCGTCCCGTTGCTGGTGAAATATCTGCTCGTGAGCCTTGCCCACTTTGCGCTGGCCAATCGTGGAGCTCCCTGCTGCATTGTCTGCTCACCGGGTTACTCACTGTGTTGCCTCGCCGCACTGTCGCCTGAGGTGTCTCTTCACCCAACCCCAACCAACCAACCGACCTACCTGAGCCGTGACAGCGCGCGCCGCATCCATTAGCTGCTGGATACAGTCTGATCCCGATCCGACTTGACTTCTGTTTCTGGTCTGACCTTGACTGACCTGCTGTGGTTCACCTCTGTCACTCCCTTTCTGTCTGTTGTTACGACACGACCATCCGCCTGCGTCCTTGTCCCTCACTGGACCGACTGAGATCACCAGCGCGCGCAACTGACCTGGATCTGGGGCGCGACATCATTAACTTTTTCGTATCCCGATTCCCCCACGAAGGCCGTTAGACACCTCCGTCGCCATGGGTACGTTCCTTTCTTCTGCTACATACATACACACTTGTCTCTCTTGTGTTCTCGCTCCTGTGGCAGCCCTGTCTTTCGCTGGCCAGCCCACTTGCTTGCTTTCCGTTTCCATCTCCCGACGTCCACCGTCGCCTGCCTCGCTCGAGCATCTTTGATTCACCTTTTTTCATGCCCTCCTCCTTTGCCCCGGCGTCACCACATCACCTCGCCTATCCCCCACGCGTCCTGTGGCTTCCTCGTCTCGGGCCTCGGTCCTCATTCACACCTTCACCTCCTTCTCCCAGCTAGTTTGTACGACTCTTCCAGCCTGTCTGTGGTTGCATGCGGCCCTGGCTTGGCTGACTTGCTCCTCAAGCTCTTACTCACTCACCCCCCCCGTCCGCCGTCAGCTCTCAGTGGCACCCGATGTTTCTCTCGCCGGCCGGCCGTCGAGATCACACTCTGCACACTCAACACCTACCCCAATGAGCAGCTTTCGCTTCTCCTCACTTCTCACAACCTCTCTCGTTGCATCTCTCTTCACTCGGGAATGCGTCTTGCGTTCTTCCGCTCCCACACCTCCCGCCTCCTTCCTCGCCCAATTTAGGCAACGCCTCGATCAACAGCATTAAGGACCTTGGCGCCCTCGATGTAACCGCTCCCCCCCTCCGTGCCACCCCTCCCGAGTTTCCCTCCTGCTTCGCCCTTCTCTCTAGCCTATGCCAACCCAGCCCTGGGTGTCGGAAATCTGCTCTTTTCCCCCACCTCCCCTTTTATCTGCAACTCTCCCGCTCTGATCCACACTTTGGTCGGACCTTGTTCTTATTGACTGCACCCCTCCACTACTCGCACGCCTCGAGCGCCGACTTGGCCGCTCTTTACGGGCCATCCTACCACCTGGGGGCACACCTTTCGTTTTTGATTCATACCTACTCCTTGGCGGGGTTTCCCTACCTTCACATCCTCTTTTATCTTCTTCTTCTTCTTCTCATGCTCCCCTTCTGTCGGCATATCTACTCTTTGTTGTCGGATCTAACAGTCGCCTAGCTGATACATCTGATACCTACCGACCTGTAAGTCTCTTGCATCCATTTGCTTCGTTGGCCTTTTCCTTTCCGTGGGATCTGTAACTTGTCCGGCGCCGTTTCAGGACGTTGTGCGACTGTAACGTGTTGACAGAGGGGCAACTGGCTATTGTGTTGAGGGGAGAGGAATCTCCTTAACACGCGAGGGCATTGGATCTGCGTCTTGCCGAATCGCTTCGCAATTCGGCAGGCGTGAGCGCAAGCCTTCCTCCAGAAACCCCACGTCTGGCAGGGACACACCCATGTGGATCATCAAAGACGGCAATAGGCGTTCACACAGTGTTGAGAGCTTCTAAACTAACTTCGCCTTAGCGTGAGAGATCTCGATCTCCTCGCCGTCGCTCCAGAAGTCCGGGACGGTCTCGTCGTCGATCATACTCTCCTAGGAGCAGATCAAACAGTCGAGAAGACACCCGTCGAGGCCGCGATCGCTCGCCCATGACTGGCACAGGTGCTACCGGTGGAGGATCTAGTTCTGGTTACGGCGGACAGCAGTCCAACCGATCTTACGAAGATCGCTCACGAGCTCGAGAACAAATGATGAGCAGCATTCGAGAGACCTCTCAACAAGACCGCCGGGTCTACGTCGGCAATCTTTCGTACGATGTCAAGTGGCACCACCTCAAAGACTTCATGAGACAGGGTGAGGAATTATGGCGGCAAGGGGGGATCACATTGGGCTGACGGATATTAGCGGGAGAGGTACTCTTTGCCGATGTGCTATTGCTTCCAAATGGAATGTCGAAGGTGGGCTTCATCGCGTAGTGATTTTCTTTTTTCTTGGCCGGCCGTTTCTTTTTTTCCCGTTGGCCCTTTTTTTTTCCCTCTCGGATTTGATGGATGGTTGGGTTGACGGGTTTGGACGTTGTCCTGCGGATGACTGTAGGGATGCGGGTAAGTCGATTAATGTTCCTTGAGCGAGTTGTTCGTGGCTAACATCATCTTTGTTCAGAATTGTGGAATACGCAACAAGAGAGCAAGCTCAGCAAGCTGTTGCCCAACTTAGCAACCAAAACCTGATGGGCCGTTTGGTCTACGTTCGAGAGGTGAGTCGCGCTTTGTATGGAACAGCGCATATCGTGGATATGATTGTTAAACACGATATATAGGACCGAGAGGCCGAGCCTCGCTTCATCGGGAGCTCAGGCAGCAACCGCGGCGGATATTCCGGCGGAATGCCTGGCGGAGGCGGCGGTGCCAGTGCTGGTGGTTTCAACCCAGGCTTCGGAGGCGGCCCCCCTGGTGGAAGTCGCCAGATTTATGTTGCCAATGTTCGCTCTTCTAACCCCCCTCTCCCCCTTCCCCATGTGGTCTGTTAATTTAGGGTATACTGACCTTGAGTAGCTTCCGTTTAACATCGGGTGGCAGGATCTCAAGGATCTGTTCCGACAGGCTGGTAAGTAAACTACTCTACTATTGGTAGTAGTAGGAGCTTTCTCTTGATTCTGACATGACCGTGTAGCGCGCACTGCTGGAGTCATCCGTGCCGATGTCCACATGGGCCCAGATGGTCGTCCTAAGGGTTCCGGTATCGTTGTCTTTGAAAGTCCAGACGACGCGCGAAATGCCATCACGCAATTCAACGGCTACGACTGGCAGGGCCGAGTCCTCGAAGTTAGAGAAGATCGCTACGCTGCCTCCGGGGGCATGGGCTTCGGCGGCGGCCGTGGTGGATTTGGTGGCGGCATGCGAGGGGGATACGGCGGTGGTTTTGGCGGCGGCGGCGGCCGCGGAAACTTTGGTGGTGGTCGTGGAGGCTTCGGTGGTTTTGGTGGTCGCGGTGGAGGCTTTGCTGGCGGGCCTCCCTCTGGCGGGCCTAGCAACTTCGAACCTGCTGCCTCCGTTCCTCCCAACCCCTTCACTGACTATGCTACCGCTGGAACTGATCCAAGCGAGATCATTTACGTGCGAAACGTAAGTACATGCACCCTTGGCAGATATCACTTGAAGTTGAGCAAGCCTCTGACCTGATGTCATTCTAGCTGCCCTGGTCAACCAGCAACGATGATCTTGTCGAGCTTTTCACAACCATTGGTAAGGTTGAGCAAGCTGAAATCCAATACGAACCAAGTGGCCGATCCCGTGGCACTGGTGTTGTTCGATTCGACAGCACTGAGACGGCAGAGACTGCGATTAGCAAGTTCCAGTCTTATCAGTATGGTGGACGTCCCCTCAACCTGCACTTTGTCAAGTACCTTAACCAAGGCGGAGCGGAGAACATGGACACCGATTCCCATGGAGGCTTGACCCAGGATCAGATGATGTAGGGGCCTTAACGGGCGCATGTCAGATGACGTTTAATTCGCAACGGCATCTTCAACATGGACTGATCTTGGTACTTTGTATCATTGATACAAGCCATCATACAACGACCACAACGTTTCTTTTGTCTGACACAGTGGCCGACTGTTTCACTTGCTGGCTACGAGTAATATGAACGGGAACGTAACTTCTCTGGCCCAAGGAACTGGCTCTGATATAATGACTGGCAGCTGGGTGAGGAAGGGAACAGCGCAACATTGTGCTTGGAACAGTTACTGCGTTTTTGATCGATTTTTATTTCCTAAAAAGTTTGAGGGATGACTGGTGTTGACTCTTTAACATCATACTTGGTGGAACCATGGATGAGTTGGCACCAGGGTTTCTATAAGACTGTACAACTTGAAAACGTCGCGTATTCGATACTTTTTTTATTACATTCAGGAATGGTTTCAATTTGCCCGACCTTTGATGCGTATTGTGATGCATTTCTCTTCACAAGCAGACGCTTGCATGTGCTGTTCCGTTACCGAATATGAATTCGTTTACTTCGGTAGTGAAATACTGGGTGTAATGACTGCCAGTCAAAGCCGTCGAGACATAATCTAAAAACCGTAAGCGTGCAAGGTAATGACAGATTCCTCAATATCCATCCCAAGACTGAGAAGAGGGAAAGGGATGATCGCTGGACCGCATTGTTCTTTGACGGCCGTTTAATCTTATATTGAAGACGGAGAGCTCCAGTTCTTGCTGACGAGCCATGGGACTTGATGGCTCTTTGAATCTGACCACACAATAATATAGCTCTTCCTAACGCATTTGCAATAAGCAGTTGTGAGAAATATTCTGCGATAAGAAATAGGCTGTGCCCTTTCTGCTCTGATGAAACTATGATAGTTGATAGTTAATGAAGGGCATTTGGTGTTGTACCCCATTCCGGGCCTTGAAAGAACCAAGCTGGGGGCGATGTGTATAGATGGCGTGACCAAAGTGAGAGGGTGTATTCATTCTCCCTTTGAAAACCAGAAACAATCTGGAGAGGGCGCAGTTGTGATGATCTGCAGGGCATACAAGGAGAAGTTCGCTCGTGGCACATTGCGAAGATGCCGTTCTCTTGAAATATTCAGGAATGTAGGTAGTCCACGTTTCTCTCCAGATGAGTAAATGATGGGAGAGGAGCAACTTGCGCCCCCCAATCCTAACAAAGATCAATACTTAATGAGACTTTAGACATCAATTAAATTGTGAAATATTGATTAGAAGGGAGGAATGAGCTCAAATTGTTTATGCTCGTTTGGCAACTAGGCATTAGTAGGAAGTCAAACCATGTTTTTGAGCCTGTCTCAACCCATTCTGCTACCTATGCATCAAATATCATGGCAGTTTTTACTCCGGACAATGAAATTTTATGACAAGGACAATGTTTGGTATTGGTGTGGTGGCCGTCAGTGCCGAATCAGATGCTTTCATTATTTCAACATGGAGTCAAGATCCGGGGGAACAATCTAGCTATCTCTATGCGGCATTCTTCTTCTTCTTGGCCTTGAGCTTCTTCTTGTTGCGGTCCCTCGGCTTGAGCGCCGTCATTCCGGTCTTGCAGATGTCCGCGTACCGCGTGTAGAACTCCTCCAGGTCCTCGGGCTTGACGACCGTCGAGATCCTGACCTTGGAGTCCCGCTCCTTTTTGGACTTCCCGTTAGTAGCGCGGATCACTATTGAGTGAGGCTCCGTTGTGTTCAGGTCAGGGAAGGGCTCATCCGCCGAGGGCATGGCGGTGTCCTCGGTGTTTTTGACTGTGTTTTCCCAGGGGGATTAGAGTCCTGAGGTTGCTTGAGGGGCTGGCAGGGAGTTACATACGACGCTTTTGTGATAGGTGGATGGCGCCATGGTCGCCTCCCTTGCGCTGAGAGAAGAGTTTCTCTAACCTGTCAAAGAACTGTAGTGCGGTGTGAGAATTGTGAATGCGAAGGTATGAGACGAGGCTGGGGCGGATGAGATAGGATGAGGGCAGCGGGTTGACTAACCTCACTCTGGCTCAAATGGGATTTGCTGGGGGCCATGGTCGTTGTCGGGGCCCAGGTATGAGCCTACGGGAGGGTGCAACTGATCACTGTTTCCTTACTATGTGGGATGTAAGATCGTTGAGTGAGGATGGCTGCCGTCTCTCAGGTTGGTCGTCGTGATGTCGTGTGTGTGGCAAGTGAGATTCGAAGTGGTGCCCCGCTATTTTGGTTGTTTTCACCGATCGGCTTGGTGGGGCCAAAGTGAGCCGCAAGCTAAAAACTCGCTGTGCAGAGTCGCTCAGCATCGAACTGGACCCATAATAATTTTTCATTTCATCTTGTCTCTGAGTGTCTCTTGAGATTGAGTTATCCAAGTATCTTTATTATTTCTCCTTTGTTGTACTATCCGAGTAATCGGCTAGAGTATTATTTCTCACCCACTGCGCTGGAAATACTCGAGAGTTTTAGAGCCACTCAGACTTCATTTTATTTCCTAAAAATTCTTTTCTAGGCCAGAGATGGGTGAAACCCCCGTTGCTGAAAATTAGACGGCAGCCACAACAGAACGCCAGCCATGGCTTCAGGCTCGGTACCAGAGCTTCAGCAGAAGATATTCAAGCGCATGGGGATAGAAGTCCCGGAGCCAAAGCAACCGCGCAGACCTGGGCAGCCTAGGGGAAAGTTCCGAAACCAAACCTCGTCTCGCAAAGAGCAACGGAGGGCCGACAGGAACCAGAAGAAGTCCAATCGCTACACGAGGGCGGCGCCGGATACCGGACGTCCTTCTCATCCCAGACCTCAGAATGGACCTAGAAGGGAGCCCGCAAGGCCAGTCTCCAGGCCTGCTCCGAAACCCGCTGCGAAGCCCCAGGGTGGGATGAGGATGCTGGCCGACCTTTCGGAGGATGATGAACTTACCGAGGGTGATTTCGAAGATGGGGATGAGGACGATGAAGAGATGGGTGACTGGGATGACGAGGACGACCAAAGTGATGATGATGTCGCCGACACCAAAGCCCGCGGCAAGGAGAAACCCGCGATTGACAAGTCAATCCCGCGTGCCGTTAGGGAAAGGTTAGCCGAAGACGATGCCGCCATCGAGGAGTTCGAAAGGAAGCTGGGTATCAAAAAGGGGCGAAAGTCACTACCCAAGTCATTTGTTGAAGACGGCTTGGCGGCTTTGATGGACGACTTTGGGGAAGGTGATGTCTCTGAGGGTGACGACGATGACCGGAAAAGAAAGCGAGACTACGATGATTGGCTTGCGGAAAAGAGAAGGAAGACTGCGCCTCAGCAGTCAGGAAAGGGAAAGAAGCCAGCTGACCATGAAGACAATTCCGAGCTGGGATCGAGCGAGGGCGACGAGGCGGACAGCTTTGGCGGGTTCAGCGAAGATGATGACGAGGGCCTTGATGACGAGGGCCTTGATGACGAGGAAGAGGGGGACTTTGATAATGACGAAGAAATGGGCGGGTTTAGTGACGAGGGTGACCCGTTCGATGAATCCGACGCTGGCGAAGAGCCGGAGACCAAACCCCGGCAGCGCGAAAACCCATATGTTGCGCCCACTACCGGCGCAGTCGTCGCAAAATACGTGCCACCTTCATTACGCAGAGCCCAGGGGTCCGAGGGCGAGGCTCTGATGCGCCTTCGGAAGCAAGTCCAAGGTTTGATCAATCGGTTGACGGATGCCAACATTCTATCCATCGTGCAGTCGGCCGAGGAACTATACCAGAACAATGCTCGAGGCGAGGTCACCGAAATGCTAACGGAATTGATCCTGGCTCAAGTTTCCAAGCCTGAAAGTTTACCAGATCAATTCTTTGTTTTGACTGGCGGTTTCGCTGCGGCGATTTACAAGATTATCGGTGCTAGTTTCGGTTCTCACCTCGTTCGTAGAGTTGTCGAGGACTTTGGCCGGCAGTACGACAATGCCAAAGCATACGAAGGCGAAGTGGCGGCAATTCCGAAAGAAGCATCCAATCTTCTCACCTTTTTATCCCAGCTGTACGTCTTTGAGGTGGTCACTTGCAAGATTGTTTTCGACTATATGGAGAGGCTGCTGAGCGACCTTGGCGAGCTTAATGTGGAACTGCTGCTTCGCATATGCCGGATGGGTGGCAGGCTGCTTCGACGAGACGACCCACACGCCCTCAAGCAGGTTTCTAGCCTGCTGGGTAAGGAGGTGACAAAGGTCGGGCAGGCGAACGTCTCTGTCCGAACCAAGTTCATGATTGAGACGATCAACGACCTGAAGAACAGCAAGCCAAAAGCCAAGGGCCTTGATTCTGCCGTCGTGTCCGAGCATGTGCTACGAATGAGGAAGCGACTGGGAGAGCTGAAATCGCAGTCGCGAAGGCTCGATGGACTCTCGCCTATGGGTATCAGTCTTCAAGATGTCGAAAATGCCGATACTATGGGTAAATGGTGGCTTGTCGGAGCCAGTGTTCCGGTCAAGCCTGAAGACGCCAAGGGAGCAAAAGGGAACGGTGCTGCGAAGAGCTCCGGTAAAAATTACGAATCTGACGAGGAGGATTTGGAGTTTATCCTCCCCGATTATCCCAAGAAGGCCAGGGCACAAGGTCTAAGCACGCCAGGACAGATCGCCATATTCACAGCCCTGCTATCTGCCGGGGATGCGGAGCAAGGATACAACCAGTACGTGACTCTCAAGCTCAAGAAGGATGAGCAGTTAGAAATTGCCCGCGTGCTGGTGCAGTGTGTCGGGAGCGAGCCACAGTACAACCCGTACTATGCACTTGTGGCCAAGCAGGCTGTTAGCAATAACAAGGTGCGGTTTGCTCTCCAGAACAGGCTCTGGCAGATCTTCCGCGGACTTGGGGAGTCTCTTTTCGGAGAAGAGGCGGACGACGATGATACCGCAGACACGGACAGGATGAAGGACCCCCAGCGGATGAAGAATGTTGCTCAGTTCTACGCATCTCTGATCACGGATGGCTCGCTGAACATTAGTATCCTGAAACCCCTGGATCTGCCCAGACTCGGTTCATCATGCTCTACGTTTTTGGAATGGCTCATGATCTTTCTACTCAAGGAATGCAAGTCAAAGAACAGCGAGAAGGAGGACGCTCGGGTTGCCAAGGTGTTTGGGGCCGGAAGGGATCTGCCGGGTCTCTCGGCCGGTATCGGCTGGTTCCTTCGAAAGAAGGTGCGCAAGTCTAAACTAATCAGCAGCAAGGAGGCAAAGAAGCTGGAGGCCGTGAGAGAGAAGGCTGAAGGAGCGGCCCAAGCTATCAAGATGGATGAATAAGCCTTGGGGGAGGAGTTTTAAGCATCCGCCACCATGGGTTGTTATTAGGTAAAGCTGAAAAAGAGAAGGTGTTATCCGACCCCTTCAGGGGTTGGGTGTAGCTTCCAGCTTTGCCTAAGGTATTTAATTGACCGTAGGTCACTCTATACATCGATATTTATTGGCTGCTGGATTCTCAAATCATCGGCTATTGGTCGACAGAAATTAGCCCTCGGGCATTCCGTCTTCGATGATGCTATCGTGAGCTTGTGAGGAAGGTGTTTCGTAGGTAGCGAGGAAGTATACCTTTGTATGTGTGTATGTTATGAACCTTATGAATACAATCAACAGCTGCAGTCTTGAGCAGGTAATTTTGGTCCTATCCCGTGATACTAATGAATACGATCACGAACCGTAGCCTCAAGCGGCCTCAAGAAGGTAAGTCCGATCCTATCCGCTATGATCCAGGTGAATACAATTAATATCTACATCCTCGAGCGGCTTAAGGTATTTTTGATTAAATCCGCCGTAATACTGAGGAATACGATCAATAGTTATAACCTCGAGCAGCCTTAAGCAGGTCAGTTTGATCTAATTCACCTCCGCCTTTGTAAATGCAATTAACAGCTACAACCTCGAGCAGGTAGATCTGATACTATCTGCTGTAATCCAGGTGAATGCATTAACAGCTGCAGTCTCGAGCAGGTAAGTCGGATCCTATTTACCGTGATGATGATAAATACGATCAACAACTGCAGCCTCGAGCTGCCTCGAGCAGGTAAGTTGTATCGTATACACGTAAACCCCCGGCTTCGTCAATTTTGCCTACCCCCGTGATGGCCTGCCAGCATCATGGTCTTGTTGCTAGACGCCCGGCTTGTTGGGTACGAGATATATGGTTTTTTGTTGCTGGTATCTGATTGAACGACTGTGGACAACGCCGAAACTCGGGCCGTGATCAAAAGCCGTCTTGGCGCCTCGCGTTGCTATAGTCGGCGTAATGTGCAGCGCTGGTTCGGTTATCCAGGGCGCAATTAGGCCGAAGTAGTCCACGTTGGGGCGGCAGGAAACGGGATAGCAGTGTTGGGCGCTGCGACCGGCGAATGGGGAGGCCGTGGAAGCCGGGCGGTGGAGAGCTGGATTGCCGAAGAGGCACTGCGGGTCCGAAGTGGCCAACCTATTGGTCAGCAGCCAGAAGCAGGTCCCAGAAGCTCTGTTCGACCTGCTGCACATTCAAAGTGCGCCACCTACCAGACAAGAGTGACATAAAACATGGCACACCCGGAACCTCCAGCGTTGAATTTCAAGATAATTTCCAAACAATTAATTCATAATATCCATAATCTCAAGCTGAATACTGTAGAATAATAATTTTTAATATTCTAATTATTATATTTAGTATCATTGATACGAGAGTAAGGTCCTCGACTTGCGTGAACACAGCTTTGGTGAGCCATGTCACTCGCTCGCCAGATTCGCCATGTGGCTGGATTCGCCTCAAGGGAGTATGCTTTCGCCCTACCTTTACAGGCGAGTATAAGCTGTATAATTTCGTATTCACTTTCTTTTCTCATTGCATATGGTGACTCACATAGATAGGTAAATATGTATCTTGCCTATAAATCAGCTGGGCATCTCTCTATCCCTCTAGCACAATTGACACGGGACCCACTAAAATAGCTGCACATCACAATAGCCAGTTGCTGGAAGCCCGCAAAAGTTCGATCCCATCTCAACCTCTTGCACTCCTCCACCAAGAAAACCCAATCCCCATCCCCCCTCTCCCTGCTTCGCATTCTGGCGTCTTTGGAGCCATATTGCTCAATTTCTTCCGCCAAAATGCTCGCTAGCCGTTTAATCCCTAGATATACCGTCCGACCGGTTGTCGCTCGGTCTACGTGAGTCCGCCTCCTTGAATCTCCCTCGTTGCCACGATGCCCTCTACTCGCTGGACTAGCTCCCGACTGACAATCCGTCTCCTGCAGCCTCCCCAAGGTCGTTTCTGCCCCTGCTCTGTCGCAATGGAGCCGTGCCTACTCTGCCTCGTCAGGTGTGTTGCTGCCCCCCATTGAGTCGCATATAGTGAGCGGCATTTCGTGTACTGACGTCTGTCTCTTCCATCCATAGATGAGAAGGACCTTGTCATCATCGGCGGTGGTGTCGCCGGTTACGTCGCTGCCATCAAGGCTGGTCAGGAAGGCTTGAATGTGAGTTTATCCGGTCCTCATAGGGACGAGGAGTTCTCCCCGGTCATCGGTAGCCTCTAACAACATCTGGATAGGTCGCCTGTATCGAGAAGCGAGGCGTCCTCGGAGGAACCTGCCTCAACGTCGGCTGCATTCCCTCCAAGTCTCTCCTCAACAACTCCCACCTGTACCACCAGATTCTCCACGACACCAAGAACCGCGGTATCGAGGTCGGCGACGTAAAACTGAACCTGGCCAACCTCATGAAGGCCAAGGAATCTTCCGTTAGCGGCCTGACCAAGGGTATCGAGTTCCTGTTCAAGAAGAACGGCGTTGAATACATCAAGGGCGAGGGCAGCTTCGTCAACGAGCACGAGATCAAGGTTGCCCTCAACGACGGCGGGGAGACCAGCGTCAAGGGCAAGAACATTCTGATTGCGACCGGTTCCGAAGCTACCCCCTTCCCCGGCCTTGAGATTGACGAGAAGCGCGTCATCACCAGCACCGGTGCTCTCTCCCTCGAGAAGATCCCCGAGTCTATGCTCGTCATTGGTGGTGGTATCATCGGTCTTGAGATGGCCTCCGTCTGGTCCCGTCTCGGCACAAAGGTCACCGTCGTCGAATTCCTCGGACAGATCGGTGGTCCTGGTATGGACACCGAAGTCTCCAAGACCATCCAGAAGCTCCTGAAGAAGCAGGGACTTGAGTTCAAGCTTAACACCAAGGTCCTCAGCGGTGACGCTTCTGGCGAGAAGGTCCAGCTCAACGTTGACTCTGTCAAGGGTGGCAAGGAAGAGACTGTACGTATATATCGTCTTATTCCCAGGAAGCGATGAATTGATAGAAGCTAACCTCAACTCTTTAGCTCGACGCCGAGACCGTCCTCGTCGCTATCGGTCGCCGACCTTACACCGCTGGCCTCGGCCTTGAGAACATTGGTCTCGAGACCGATGAGCGCGGCCGTGTCATTATTGACTCCGAATACCGCACCAAGCACCCTCACATCCGCTCCGTCGGTGACGTGACCTTCGGTCCTATGCTGGCCCACAAGGCTGAGGAGGAGGCTGTCGCTGCCATCGAGCACATCAAGAAGGGCCACGGCCACGTCAACTATGCCGCCATTCCCTCCGTCATGTACACCCACCCCGAGGTTGCTTGGGTTGGCCAGAGCGAGCAGGACCTCAAGAACCAGAACATCCCCTACCGGGTTGGAACCTTCCCCTTCAGCGCAAACTCCCGTGCCAAGACCAACCTTGACACTGATGGCCTGGTTAAGATGCTTGCCGACCCCGAGACTGACCGTCTCCTTGGTGTCCACATCGTCGGCCCCAACGCTGGTGAGATGATTGCTGAGGGTACCCTGGCTCTGGAGTACGGCGCCTCAAGCGAGGACATTGCCCGCACATGCCACGCTCACCCTACGCTGGCAGAGGCTTTTAAGGAGGCTGCCATGGCCACCCACGGCAAGGCCATCCACTTTTAAATGGTTACATGACATATTTAGACACAAGCTTACGGACTCTGTAAAATAGTATAATTGTTATCCTGGCATGTGAAATGGTAGATTCGCACAAAACAATACCGATCTGTTTCTCGCAAATAATGAGCATTGTCTATTAGTATGAGTGATGAACCGGACAAGTGGGTGACATTGAAATCAAGACACTCAAACATTATACTGCTTATTCTCAGGTCTGCGGCCGGTATTGACATATTATTGAGTCCCAAGTATACTTATTATGTACTTTCTTCTATTTTTATACTATCAATAATCTCTATTTATCGCAGAAAGTAGTCAATTAATAACCAACTCTTCCATTAGGTGTCTTACTTCTCCTGTCACCCACTTGCCGGGATACTTATCTCTTTCGGTGACGCCCCAAGCTTCTCCTTCATAGACGTGGAATTCCCCTAGTGGTGGAGAGCTTCATTGTTCTCCCACGCATTTGATGGCATAGCCCATCTCTCTCCCTTCACTCCCCGTTGTTCTACCCAGTGGGGCCTATTCTCTCGGTTATAATATTTAGGTGTTCCCGTGGCTACTTATCCCTTTTGGGCTTCTTGCGAGCCAGAGAGTCAAGGATATGTTGCTCTCCGTCAGTGTGAATTCTTGATAGATGTCGCTTTTCTCCCCGTCCCAGTTCAGCAAATAGGCCGTCCTGCCGCGCCTGCTCACCTGCTGTATGATCCTTCGAGATCGTAGGTACAATTGAAAAATTCTTCTCCTGTTGCTTCTGAGGCTCTAGTTGGAGGTTCTTTCGCGCGGCTTGATATCTTCTCGTCCAATCGGTTTCCCGACCACCAGCAGTGCCGTTTGCATCCCTTGGAATATTTGGTACGGTAATAGTCATAGACCTTATCTTAGCAGCGGATACCAACCGTGATGGTCTAGTTACGCCTCGCGCCCTCCGGTCCTCCTCGTTCTGGCGCTTGGCAAGACCGGCCAGCTGGCGGCCGATCGCCATAATCTCATCATCCGTCTTCCGTCGCTGGGGCGTGACCGGCTTGGATGGGATCTGGACTTCGGGATGATCGTAGTCGGCAGCCAGGCCCAGCGCCGCGCTCGCGGCCACACCGGCCGCTGCCCCTGCGGCGGCGACACCTACCGGATTGATGGACTCTGGCTCGGTATAGAGCGGGCGGTGAGGCTCGTCCGTGAAGAAAGGCTGCTGTTGCTGCTGCTGGTAATTATACGATACTGAGGACTCAAGAGGGAGTTCCACGCTGCGATCGCCCGTCATCGTATTATAGTAAAAGAGTCGGCCGTCCGGTGCGGCCTGGGGGATCCAGAAGTCCGCCTTGGATAAGTCATCTGGAAATGGGTATGTATAGGTATCGGTCGCCTTGGACTGATCCGTCTTTCGCTCGTTGATTTCCTTCATCTCATCTTCAGTGGAACTGAACAAATATTTGGATGCATGCGTTTGCATGATGCGGCTTCTCCTGAGGTGACTCCAGACGTCTGCTACTCGTTTATAGCCCCATGGTATTAAAGGATCCCGCTTGTGAAGATCTCGAATTCTCGTCTTCGTGTTCTCTATGGTATGACCAGCAAGACCGTGCACTTGAATGATATCAACTTCCGCCGTGGAGCGCCTACCACGGAGACTGGCAGGGGGTACGAAGCTGGCCTGCCTAAGGTCGGGGGCAATATTATCAGGCGACTTGGGGTTTGAGGCTTGAAGTTGTGCTGGGTCTGGTTTCCCTGCGTCGGGATAGACATCAGGTTGTGTTGCGGGATATTGAGCCTGTGCTTGACGGTCGTCTACAACAAGCCGTTGCGATTCTCTCCGAGGCTCCCTCCGGCGAAGTCTCGTTGGGGCTCCCTGCCCGGGTGATGGCCGTTTAACTATTACTCCCATGGAGACCGAAGGGACTCGAAATGGAGAGCCAAATAGCAGAGCACGACAGAAGGGTGTTGAAGCCCAGGGTTGGGCTATGAAGCTTGGGGGGAGGGGGTGAGGCGGGGNGGGGGGGGGGTTGAAACGGCCAAACTGCGCCGCCATGGTTTTATGAAGTACGCATTCATCCTCGCAAAGCCCTCTGCTACGTCACCATGGTGCATGCGATCTTGAAGAAGTTAACCCTCCGTCTGTTCATGGCATGGTATAGACTTATGACAAACACCAAGATAGTCGCATATCAGTCCTGGTTTCCGAATGCTTTTTTCTTTTCTTTTCATATCTTCTTGGGGTGACACCGACTGCGCTTCAACATCCGAGGAATTAGGGATTAATATTCTTGGCCAACAGGTTAACAACGGAGAGGGGAGGGAGAAGCCGAGCCAATCCAAGGCATAATTGTGCAGCCAAAGGGAGGCTTATCCTGCAGTCAGCCAACCAAGCCCCGGATGCCAGCAAATCAGCCCGCAAAGGCTACTCGGGGCCAATCAGCATGTAACACGTCCTCTGGCTGTGGCAGTGGCCTCAGCCGCTGGAGAGTTACATCACAAGACTTATGAAATATGATAGCGAAGGTGAGTGCTTAATAAAATGGGTAGCCTAGGTAGAAGCTAGCACATTATTTCAGGCAACAAAACATTCAAGAACGAATTGTTGAACTGTTGAAAGAATTTAGCAGCTTCTTGATATCGCGAGTCGTTGCTTCAATTTGTATTGCTATCTAGAGGCATAGATGTAAAATGGCCCTATAGAATGGCGTCGAATTACATGAAGTTGCTGGGTGAATTGAGAAGGCAGTCGGAATCCCGACCAAATCACCATGAAGCCTACAAATCTGCAGCAGTCATTTCTGCTGAACAACTTGGGAATGCCTATCATGTGGCTGTCCTTGATTTTTCTAATAAGTTAAACCGTAAGTTTTTCCCCTTCTTCGATGCTATGATGCACCTATTTCCTGACGACTTAGATTGAAGAATTAATTGATCATTCGGAATATTTCAGATGGGAAGAGTTCTCCATTCCCGACGAGTCTCTTTTATGGAAGGTCCCCGGATTCTGCTCGCCGCATTTATGCTTTGTAGATGCGGAGTTTTTAAGGAAACAGGTCAAATCTTTTCGAACTCTTCCTCTGGATCCAGTAGAAACATACAGAGACGATCTTTGGAACCACCCAATGCTTCCTGCATGGATCAACTCCAAAAAATCCGAGATTCTTGTTTTTCAGGGTAACTATGAGGCGATTGGGAGATTGAGCTTGTTTGCCGCAGAATTAGGAGACAAGATTGAGGAGAGGAAAAGACTGTTGGCCTATATGCCCTACAAGCCGGTTTTACCCACCAGCTGCCATCTACCGTTCTCGTTAAACACGATAGAAGTACTCAGGCATATCGCCATCCAGGCTTTGCATGGAAGCATATCTCGACCCTCGGTCGGATTAGTCGCTGAATTGGTGCGAAGTTTTACCACGGCATCGACCTGTGCAGATTGGTTCAAGATCCTGGAAACGATATGCAGTCAACTTTCCGAACTCTACATCATTTTTGACCTTGGTTTTCACGCTACCGAGGAGCATGAGTTGCAGCATTGGCTTCCTGCTTTCCAGGACCTATTGGGGAAAGTCGAGACTATTTCTCCACACACTATCATCCGGGTGATGATAGTCTCCTGTCGGGTTTTGAAAGCACCGCAAACTTCGAAATACGTGTCCACCATAGGAGTCACCCCTTTAAACATGCACCCAGATCTTATTCGCACCAGAAACTTTAATCAACCAGATATCCCACAAAATCTATGGATGGAACTGACAGCTTTAGCATCTCACACGGCGGACCAAACCTCCTCTCCTGAGACAAGCACCACAGCACAGCAAGAGGCTATGAATCTCATTCATGTCTTCGACTCAACATTCCATAACAAAAGTCGAAACCAAGCCGTTACTCAGGGACGGCAGCGAAAACATGAGACTGAGGGGAATTCTGAAACTGGGGCGTCTGATCATGATCTTCACCCAGTTTTTACTCAAATATATCAAGGAAAGGATGCCGCAAACAGTGGTTCCAAGTTGGAATTTGGAATCACAAGTTCAGGACAGGAGAAAACCCCCGGTGAAGTCACACAAAGAGCACAAAAAGAAACAAAAAACACTTCTGGGACCAAAGACTCCGCCCCTGCCGATGTGAAGGACTTCAACATAGCCATATACTGCGCACTTCCTCTGGAAGCTGACGCGATGATATATCTCTTCGATAAGATCTGGGACGGGAGACAATATCCAAAAGCCCATGTGGATCAGAATTCGTATACGTTTGGAGTTATTAGTGGTCAAAACATTATCCTGGTGCATTTGGCGAGCATGGGAAAGAATTCGGCCGCGATTGCAGCTTCCGGCTGCCGTTTTAGCTTCCCCAATATCACAATATCTCTTGTAGTAGGAATCTGCGGCGGGGTGCCCTTTGGAGCAAGAGGTAGAATTGAGCGTGTCCTAGGCGATGTCATCATAAGCGAGGGCTTGGTTCAGCTCGATCTGGGCCGACGATACCCTGGTCGTTTTGCCAGGAAACGCACTCCTCAAGAGAACTTACCACGGCCTTGTTATCAACTGAGAGGCTTTCTCGCGAGGCTTAAAAGCTCTCAGAAATTCTGCTCATTAACAGAGAAGACAAACCAGTACCTCGAGAATCTTCATTCACAAACAGTTGCATTGGGTAACTTTATTTATGAATATCCTGGGGCTGGAAGAGACGTGTTGTTTCCGCCTTCATATTTGCACAAGCACAAGACTTCGGCTCAATGCCCCTCGTGGGAACGTCCCTGTGGGATAGAGAACGGGAGCTGCAGGGAAGCGGAAACTTTGACCTGTGAAGACCTGGGTTGCGAAACTCAGAGGGTTATTCCTCGAAAGCGATTGACCCCGCGCAGCTTAGAAGAATCAAGGGCCTCCCAGGGAGAAATTAGACCAAGTTTTAGCACCGTTATTCATATTGGGAAAGTTGGGTCGGGAGACACGGTTATGAAATCTGGCGAAGAGCGCGAACGCATCGCCCGAGAGGAAGACATTATAGCCTTTGAAATGGAGGGAGTAGGACCATGGGAATATGGACCTTGCCTCATTATTAAAGGTATCTGCGACTATGCCGACTGTCACAAATCCAAAGTTTGGCAAAATTATGCCGCAGCAGCTGCGGCAGCTTGTACAAAAGCCCTTCTGGAGCAGTGGGATGCTCCTTGCTCTCTTTAATGTGGTTTGAAGGATGATCACATGCTTATAGTCATTTCAATTTCTCACAACAATTTATTGCCTACTCCAATGCCTATGGACGGAATGACTGGAGCACACGGCTCTCATCTCTCCTTTCTGCCTCTCTTAATGTCGTCCTCGGAGATATCGTGATGAACTTCCTTCAGATATTTATCAAACTTCTGAGCCTCCTTCATTACAATCTCCAAGTGAGAATAGTCCAAACACTGTTCCCGATATGTAGCAAGTTGTCTGGCCGTAGACAACGCGTTTCGAATTTCCCTTCCGTTCAAGTTCGCGCTAGCAAGCGTATCCAAATGACTGGTCAAGTCTTGAAGGTTGATTCCATACCCACTGCTTCTCGGCTTCTTGGAGGACGCTGATATGACTTCGAGTGCATCTTGGCTTTCATGTTGATGATGAATGAAGTTGTTCCAGATCTGGTATCTCTGGTTTTTGTCGAGATTGCTGTAGTGCAAGCTTAGCTGAATGCGAGACTTGAATGCTTCATCGAATATTCCCACTCGGTTGCTCGTTAGAATTAATATCCCTTCCCTCGGTTGTTAGCGTAGAGTGCTACTAATGACACTTTGTTGACATACCATCGTAGTACTCGAGAACTCTAAGAAACACTAATGGACTATCAGAATACTTCAAACCAATACCTTTAAGGCGTACAACTAACCAGAGACCAGAGCATTTCGTTCTAGATTTAGGATTGATCTTTGCTCTAGAAAGACATCTGCTTCGTCTAGAAGCACAACTGTACTTGTAGCATCAGGTTTAGAACTTCCGGGTTGTTGAGACAGGCATGTGACACTCACCACATCCCCAAGTGGCCCCAAGAAGCAGGACACTGTCCAAATACTAGTGGTGTTAGTATTAGATAAAAAACAATGGGTGTATGCTGGGAGAGAAACCTGCTCTACATCCTCCGCTTTTGTTCCGATATCGCCACAAGTAACTCTATAGAGTGGTCGTTTAGCAATTTCAGCGACGCTGGTCAAATTAGCTACATTTCAAGCAAATCTGATCGCGTAGAGGGATGACCTTTCTGCTGTGAGTGTTTTACCGGTTCCCGGGCCACTATCCTAGTTTATGAGCTTTTGAAGTGTTTCTTGAATCACAGAAGCCTTACCCATGAAGCAGTATGAACAAACCATTTCCCTTTCCCTGAATAAGGTCTGATTTTGACTGAATGCCAAGTTGATTGGTGACTACAGCTTTGATAAGCTCCTTGGTCTCTTGATTGATGACAAGGTAGTCGAAAGCTTTGGTGTTCCAGCGCACATCAGTCAGATGATGTACCTCGAGGGTCACTATTAAGTGTTAGTTAGCGCATCTCGATACCAAGACTAGAGTATTGCTTTGAACGTGCCCCATGCTTTCCTCTGCATATTGTAACCGACAATATTAGCCGGGAGACACATGTAAAAGCTGTCGCCTAGGTCAGGGCAGTCCTGTTCCATGACTAGATCGTCAAGTACATCTTGACCTGAGGCCCCTGACGGCTTATTTGCCTCCGGGTACATGCGCTTATAAGTCTCCATGTCCACCATAAAGCGTGACTCTTCCTATTATTTGAATTAATCGTATTGTCAAATGATGGATTTCGGTGTCTCCTACCGGAGTCTGCGTTCCCTCTATTCTGGTGACCCGAGAAGAGACGTAGTGTCGGTGACGGCATTTCCATATCATTTCCCCCCGTTTTCGGATTGCCTCCACAACCTCCTCTAGGGCGAAGCGCAGCGGGTAGAGCTCGAGTTCCCTAATCCCAATTTTCTGGGTCGTCGAATGTAAAACTGGGAAGGGGAAATAGCTCTCGACTCTATGAAACTTCCCATCAAAAGACCATGAGCTGACCCGGATCCGCGGCCTAGCTTTGCCGCTGTTCAATTTTGTCTCAAGTACTTGGAGGCCTCGGAATTTTGAAATGTCTTTGCCGTTTTGCTTGGAGATGATAATTTGCCCAGGTACCTAGGTGAAACCTTTAGGTTGTGAAATATTGTGTCGTTGGATACTAGGTACTTACATAGAGATAGGGAAGATATCGTGCTGTTATCTGATTCTGAGACATCATATAGTCTACCGAGACCCATTCATTCGACATCCTACTTATGATGTAGTCTCTGAGTATGAGTATAGGGGAGACTGGGTCCTCGTTGGTCATGTCGATGATATCGCTGATCTCTAGACGATGGTGGAACCACCACAGGTAGGGATATACAGCATCCTCAAGCTCATGCTCACTCTCAATGACAGCCTCATCGACGTCAGAGGAATCTGGCGATGAAATGTCTTCGCCCATCTCTGTCACCTGAGGATCCTGAGATTTAGGGAGCGGAGCATCTGTCGACACGAGTGCAAGCATGTCACTGAGTGCCCGCTTCATCTCTTCGGAGACAAGCTTGATTGACTCACCCTTCAACAAGGGAGATGCATCACTGGTCGGAAGCTGCCCCTGGTCATAATCATGTTGAAAACTAGAGTTGACGTGACCACAGCATTCAAAATCTTTGTATACGATCATGGCAATATCTTTGTTCCTCTCCAGGTATAGTTCCAAATTTTTTATGGTAGCCCGGCCGAACAGATGAGTTCCTTGTTGTACAGTTTCATCGCTGCTGCAGAGTTCCTCGTAGAGCCTTGTTCTGCCTCCGGACTTCAAGCATCGAAGTCTGTAGATGATTTGATGGCGGGAGCCTATATAAGGATCATGAGGGTCGGTTCCCGGCAGGCGCGCCTTTTTCAGGTCGATGAATGCAGTTTCTAGCTCTTCTAGAAGCTCATCATCAGTGATTGAATTTTCTGTGCCCAGAAAGCGACATAATTGAGCCCTCCAGTCGATGGTGGTGATGGGATTTTGTCGAGTTCGTGTCTCAGCATCTTGGGAACGAGGTGCTTGATTATGTATTAACATGTGCTCGAAGAACCAAACAGGAGCGCTCTATTAGCTAGTCTCACCAATGCCTTCTTCACTATTCTCGCGAGCTTGGTCTTCGTGGTCGCCTTGTCTGCGACGCTTGGCCTGCCGCTCTGGTTGGCTGCCCCGAGGGCTAGAGGAAGGACGGCTAGTGTATGGTTTTGGTCTCTTCTCCATATTCAGAAGCTGTCGATGAGGGCTCGCAGATGGTCTTAAGAGAATTTAGAAAATTGCAACGTAAGTTGTTGAGATTAGGCTTATTGGGCTGCGGCTGATACCATTATGCACTTTCGGATGATTAATTTTCCCAGGGCCAAGGCCACCTTGTGAAAGGCTGCCTTGATTGGATATTCTGCACAACATGCTGCAGCTCTCAGCGCTGCATACACCAATTATAGAGGCGGGAACTTCAAGATTGGAGGTGACTTTCATATTGAGACTACAGCACTTACCCTATTGCTAGGTGCTGGTTACCTGACCGTTGTTAATTTTTTTTATTCGTCGAAGAGCGGCATGAGATGTTTGAACGACTCTTATTAAACCATAATTTTGTATGCATCAGGCTTGGTGAGATGGTTGGTAGGCTCTCGAGTGGTTGACAAAAGAAACGAGGCACTAAATGGATGAACAACTTCATGAAGTAGAGCATAACTCACAATGACCAAAATAACTTGATATTAAAAAATGACGCAATTCGATGATATGGAGTGTGTTACCGGAATATTAATTTATCACTGGCCTGAAGATAACGCAAATACTCAGCATACCTCTCCAAAAGTGTAGCAAGAACAGGCCCTGGTGTCTCATTTCTTCGGTTGGCTCTCTACTAGACGACAACAATGGTGACGATATCAGATGCAAGGTTTCCCTCATCATCGTAATTTTAACCCAATCTACGGCTGCTCTGGTCACGATCACATCTGGGATCTGGGATTTCGTGTGTATGGACGCCGGCAAGAAATGGTCATATTCGCACTGCATGATGTAGTGTCGGACCTTTGGTACTCAAATGGCTGTCACCAAAAAGGGACTGTAAAGTCACCTCGACTGAATTACTATGACATCCAGTTACATAATAATTTTTCCTATTGTGTAATAATATATAGCCTTTTTTAATAGTGACTTAAAATATATTATCATAGACTGGGCATTCTCTATCAATATCGTGGCCTGATGGGTATTTGAGGGAAACACCTTGGTAGTCCCTGTCATTCTGACGCGCACTTGCCTTTACTGTCGTCGATGAGACTATCTAGGTCGAGATTAATGTTTGGGCCAGTTTCAAACCGCAAGGGGTCACTTTGAACGGAATAGGGGAATTAATTGCAAGGTCATTCACTGATGAAGGACTTTTGTGGGTGTGGGTTGAGGTGCACACATGACATGAGCTGCTCAGCTGAGCAGCTGATGAACCTGGTAGCGGCTCTTGAAGCCAAATCGGTTAGAATCATCTGCGATTTGCTACGGCGGTACGTTAAAGATGCTAGGATTAACTGACCTGTCGACTTATTAGTAGATAAGTAGGTGACAAAGAAATGAGATACCAAAATAAAGAGTGGTTGTGAGCAGACGACTGTTTACGATGGCAGGATGAACCGGTCGCTAAACGAAAGAGTAGAACGTTTAGGTGTCTCAAACTTAATGTCACCCGGTTGGCAGATGGTAAAGTGTCTGAGAGCGGCCGTTTGCGGTGCTAGCTGATTCATTAATGTTTCATGCATAATTTCGTCATTCCGCTTCCATGAGACGACCTGTTCGATGTTGGAGGCAGCGGAGGTTTTCACGTATTCAAAGGTGAGCAGCCAATTAATTGATGCAGATAGTGTATCGACAATCGCACACTTCCTTCTCTCCATACGCTTCCCTCTCTCATTTCATTTCATCGCAGTGTAGATTGGGTCGTCATCTCGCTGATCTCTGGTGGACTCAAGCAACTCAAAGGTTAAAGCTTGTGACTTGACCCTAGTACATATATCGGGCAAGTGGCGGCAGTCAACCGAACACAAATGGCAGGCTTGCGTGTCTTAAGACCGAGAAGTCTTTCGTGTGAGCTAGTCACTGCGTGGAATAACCCAAAAGGACAGGCAGTTGAAGTGAATCTTGTTGCTTGAGCTTTGTTTAAATAGTGAGGCAAGTACCAAAGACCTGCTCGGTGGTGCCCACCTGCCGTCTTCGCATGTATCTTTACTACCACCTTGGTTGAACCACCACGTCATTGCTCCATTCTATGCCGCTGCCATCGCTATCTGCTGGGTATTGCGACAAGGTGATTTCAGCAGACAAGTTAATCTAGTCCTCGGCCCAAGCGCAAGCATCAAGCATACTGGCTTTGTTATTCTCAGCTTCAATCCCTCAAGCCAGGTACATGAAAGGTAGTGCACACACGGGCCTCACTGAAAAGAGGTACCACAGCAGGAGGTACCTGCCCCTACTGCCTACACCCACTGCCTACCTTGGTTTAGGTCACGACCTGCCACAGGCTGCCAGCACCCAACCAGCGCCTCATCAACACTGGCTGCATCATCATCACCACCACCATCATCATCTCCTCCCGCCAACGGATTCCATCCTCATCACAGCCTTGCCTCTAAAGCTGGCGCCTTGGAACAGCCCCTCTGCCATAGCCGGGACAGCATGGTCTAGCAGCGACCATGGATACCCACATCCAGCGCGCTTTGAATGACAAGTTCTACGATAAGCGAAAGATCGGAGCTCTCGAGTACGTTTCACCAAGCCCGGCCTCCCTGCCCAAGGTAGCCAGGCACTTTTTTGCCCGCAGGTTCCATCCCATCTTGCAGCTGCATGGCACCTATTCGTTTTCTCTGCTACCCCCTATCTTGCCCTTCCGCATGTCACATCTTGCCCAAGCTTGCTATCGCATTCCGTGATACCCTCCTTTATTCAACAAGCCATCTGGGTCTCTGGCCGTTGTTGCCGCCCAACCTTCCCCGCCTCTAGTCACTATCAAAACACCTTTTTTTATGCCATCCTCTAATACCCTTCTGTAGGCTTGAGAGAATCATTCGCGATCTGGTTGTAACAAAGGATTACCAGAAGGTTTACGATATCCTTGATCAGCTATGCGACGACTATGCCTATGCTGTTCACCAGCCGCACGCCAGGAATGGCGGCTTGATTGGTTTGGCAGCTGCAGCCATTGCATTAGGACCTGTGAGCTGGACCCCAGTCGTCATCGGTTGCGCGTGGTGCATCTCTGTTCAACTTGTACTAACAACTTATTCAGGAGCTGCCTCGTTATTTGGCCAGGATTGTCCCTCCAGTGCTTGCCTGTTTCACCGATCAGGATGCTAGGGTTCGCTACTATGCCTGCGAGGCCATGTACAATATAGCCAAGGTTGCTAAAGGTGAGATCTTGGTTTATTTTAATAGCATATTCGATCAACTTTGCAAGGTATGTGTAGCCCCCCGTCTCCTATTCTACGTCATTCCTTGATAGATATACTGTTATCACTGCTCCTCAACACTCTTGTGTTGGTGAATCATTGCTCACACAATTCATTGATCAACAGCTTGGCGCAGACTCGGAGCTGTCGGTCAAGAACGGTGCAGAGCTTCTGGACCGCCTCATCAAGGATATCGTCTCCGAAGCTGCCGCATCGTACATCTCAGTTCTTGAAGCTGCACCAGAATTCCAAGGCGACGACAAGGATCAGGTAGATGACAGTGAACAGCTTCTACCTACCGCCTTCTCACTCCCAAGGTTCATTCCGCTTTTGAAGGATCGGATTTGGGTTATCAATCCCTTCACTCGAAACTTCCTCGTCGGTTGGCTTACTCTGCTGGATTCTATTCCAGACCTGGAGCTTGTCACGTATCTGCCAGAGTTCCTCGCTGGCCTGCTTAAATTCTTGGGTGATCAGAATGCCGATGTACGAGCCTCCACGCAGACCTGCCTTGATAAGTTCCTCAGCGAAATTAAACGAATCGCTCGGGTAAAGAAGGGCATTACCGAGTCTCGGAAGCAGAGGGAAGGCGGCAAGCGCAAACGTGAGGAGTCCGCTGATAGTGAAAGCGGCCACGCCGGCCCCGAGGAGGGTGACGAGATTGAGTCCGAGATGGCCCCCGACGACGAACTGGACGACCTAGATGAAGATTGGATCCCCGGCCAAGATGTTGAGATCAACTACTCCTCTATCCTCGAAATCCTGACTTCCACCCTTGATTCTCCCAATGGTTTGTGTCCCCTACCCCATGACTACCCCATGTTATGCTGTGGTGCTTACTTGTGTACTAGAGGAAGATTGCCTTTTGGAGTCTCTTCGCTGGATTGTCGAGTTTCTGGATATTTGCCCGGAAGAAGTACTACCTTTCACACCCAAGATTCTGGCGCACATGCTCCCGGCAATGGCTAGCTCCAATGAAACAATCCGACAGGCGGCTACGCGAGTGAATACTTGCTTCATGGACTATGTTGTATCACTGTCAGACGAAGCTATCCTGAAGCCTCAGACCCCTGGCCAATCCCAGGCACAGTCGACTCCACGCCTTCCGCTTCCCGGAGACAAACAGGAAGGGACATCCAGCCAGCGCGTTTCAATTTCTAGCTCGCGGGACCTCAGCATACGTAGTCCCACGCCCGGGCAACAGACACTTCATCAACGCACACTCTCGAACCCGGTTCTCACCGAAACTCCACAACCAAGCGCAGACCTTGACTATGTAGCTGCTGTTAATTCGCTGACACTCCTATTTCTCAACGATCACGAGGCAACCCGGGTGGCGGCGCTCACCTGGCTCATCATGCTACACAGAAAAGCCCCGAGAAAAGTGTTGGCGTTCAACGATGGGACGTTCCCGGCATTACTCAAGACACTGTCTGACCCTTCCGACGCTGTCGTAACCAAAGACCTGCAACTCCTGTCTCAAATATCCAGAAATAGCGAGGATGATTACTTTGCCAACTTCATGGTTAATCTTCTCCAACTCTTCTCTACCGATAGAAAACTGCTAGAGACGAGGGGCAATCTCATCATTCGGCAACTATGTATCAGTCTTAGCCCTGAACGGATATACCGAACTTTAGCGGACTGTATCGAGAAGGAAGAGGACGTCGAATTTGCCAGCATCATGGTACAGAATCTCAACAACAATCTCATCACAGCTCCGCAACTAGCGGATGTCAGGAAGCGACTACGGAATCTTGAAACAAGGGTACG